ACACCCTAATCTGTAATTATAACAAGAGATTAGCCATATAAAATTCGTCCCTTGTTAGGTTGCAAACAGAGTGGAAGCGAAGCCGAAGATGAAGACGAAAAACAGTGCAGTAGTAAACATATGAAAGTGATCACAGTGCAAGCAAAGACGAAGACGAAGATGAAGATGACGTTCCCACGACAGTCGGGTCTACGTAACCGGAACGACCCAGATTTATATCTGGCCAAGGACTGTCACTCCAGCAACACTCCCCAAAAAGTCTTTGGGGAATTTGTATGCTGCTACAACAACAACAACGAAGATGAAGACGTTGCGCAAGCGGTCAGCTTGAAACAGTGCGGTACTGTTTTCAAAGACGAATCGCTTGCTGTGATGAATTGTTTACAACAACAACCAAAAAGGAAATGTTTACAATTTATTTAAATGTTTGCAATTGTGAAAAAACGCGTTTTTTCAAGAAATTGGCTAAATTTTTGGCAAAATGTAATCAAACGTATTAATTGGCATTCTTGTATATTTGAAAAATGTCTGTCCGTCTTGCCGTAACACATAATACAAGTAGCGAAATTCTCCAAAAGTTGTCCTATACAAATTATTTCATGAATTGCTGTTCTTTCTTTATTTTCTTTTGATTTTATCTAAAAAAATGGTTTTATTTAGAAACAAATCTTCATATCATTCATCTTCCACTATATACACTCGCCAGCTTGCCCGCAACGCAAGCAATTCGTCTTCGGCTTCGTCTTCATCTTCGTCTTCGGCTTCGCTTCCACTCTGTTTGCAACCTTAATCTGTAATTATAAAATAATCTCAGATTAAACCGATAACTTTTCGGTGTCCATCCTAGTTTTATCGATTGTTTTTGCGAAAAAGAGGAGAAATGCCAAATGTAAAAGTAAACAAAAATGTACGCTAGCAAGGAAAAGAGGTTTGTAAAGGTATTTTTAATAAAATGTTAAGTTAAAATATATTTATATAAGCTCGAAAATGAGGATAATCTACTTATATGTGAACCTAGTATTAACCCAAAAAACTAGCAGAAACTAGCAGCTCTCGTTCTTACGCTCTTCTTTTTTTGGCTCCTGCTAATTTCTGCTAGTAAAATTTTTATGTATGTACGTATACTAATTTTAAGGATTACTTCAATATTAATAATAATAATAATAGATTGGCGCTTACACATATGTTAATGTTTGGCCGAGCTTCTCCTCCGATTTGTGGCGTGCGCCTTGACGTTGTCACATAAAGCGGAGGGACCTACAGTTTTACGCCGACTCCGAACGGCGCTGGTATTTTTATGAGAAGCTGTTTTTCATCGCAGAAATAGACTCGGAGGTTTGCCATTGCCTGCCGAGGGACGACCGCTGTTAAGAAAAAACCTTTTTTCTATATTTTTTGCGATGTTGCTTTGACCAGGGTTTGAACCCAGGTGCTGCAGAGTGGAAGCGCGCAATGCTTACCACTAAACCACAGCGGCCGACTCAGTCAGATTTAGTCAGTAGAATTTTTGCTGGCAAAATCTTGGAAAGTGTCAAACTCAACTGAAGGGTTGGCTTTCTAATATGGACGTTGGTTAAGGGGGCGGTGGGCGAAGGGGGAATCACCTTGGCGCCTCCCATCCCTCACTTTAGAGAGGACATGAACCATATTTGAATTACAGTGGCACCACCAAGGGCTGCACTTTTAAAACAACTTTCGAACTTTTCGATAATTTTTGAATTCTACCCTCTCATTTTTTAATACTGGCCATCTGGCAATTTTTGGTAAAGTCCACAAATCGTTTTGAAAAAAAAATATCGCGTGCTTTCTACCAGCCCTATCTACCGACATGTATTTCGACACCTACCGACATATATGTCGACGTACAGTAAATTATGAAAAACCGAAAAAATAGCAAAAAAAAATTAGCAATTTTCGCAATTTACTCGAAATGTTGTACAAGTCAAACGAACGGTTAAAAGCACCCGCCACTTTTCTGTGTGCCGGTGCTATTATTCCGTGAGTCGCAGGTCCAAGTATCGTCACATTCCGAATGAAAAATTACACTGAAAATGGCACAACGCCGAACCCGGTTTGTCTCCAAACCAAATTTGACAAGGGATGATGGAAAATCATTCCACATTACATCATACTCCTAACCTGTCGGAAACACCAACAACGAAAATGAGAATAACGGCACTTACAGTAATTAATTGATAGAAAAATATTTTCTAATAAAAAAAATTATTACAATTGTCAATTGAATTTTCAATCTTGATAATTTATCAAGAAAATAGATTTAAACTTCTGTGCTGGAACTGGGAGTTCTTGATAAATAATCAAATAGTGACAAATTATAAAAATATTGAATATATTAAGTGCACAGAACCGGGCTGTAGGTATATACATATTTGTTATCAAATATGATGATGAGATTTTGGTAGAAAAAAATGTTGGCGAGTGGCAACCATGTCTGTACCATCAAGTCGTTTCAATTTTGTGCTTTGCTTTTGGCATTTCCGTTGCTTCCCATTTAAAGAACCAAAAACTTGAATTCAACAGAATTGAAACGTGTAAAAGCAAATAGAAAACACAAAAGAGATTGAGCAAGAATTACTTTCAAGCACTTGAATCATGTAAATCGGGTGCAAGAATGATAAAATACAAGATTGCGCCAATCGAGCTGAGAGCAACTGGCCGTGACGTCAAAATAAACCAGAATGAGAGAGCAAGACGAAGC